GCGGGGGAGAGAGAGAGAGAGAGAGAGAGAGAGAGAGAGAGAGAGAGAGAGAGAGAGGGAACGCGCGTATACACACTCGCACTCGCAATCGCACTCGCACTCGCTTGCGCTTGCTCGCACGAACACCTATGCCGCGCGCGCATACACCCTCCTAGGGGTCGTGTATTCGAGTTCTTTTATTTTGCCCTGTGGAGGTAGCAGAGGGTTGAGTCGAGCGAGAGAGCGGAGAGAGCGCGAGGGCTGGGGGCGATGACATCGATTTTTTACCCGTTGCTAATCTCAATGTTACCTCCACCTCTTTCTCCTCCTCCTGATCTACCTCCACATCCACCACGTTTTCCTCCACCTCCCGTTCGGTCATCTCTATCCCCTTCCTCCCCATCCCGCTCCGTCAACTCACTTCGTTCTCTCTGCTGGCCTCCCCTCCCCCCCCCTCCTCCCTCGTCCCGTTGTCCAGCCTGCACCTCGGCCATCCGTTTTGCGGGAAAACGTGCATGTGCATCGGGCACATTCGAGAAGGAATAACCATTTTTTCGTGCCGGACAACACTCGCTCCGCGTCGCCCGCGTCCTGCAAATTCTCCTCGTCTCCCGACCGCCGCCTCCGACCACCTCCCGCAATCCCCGACACTATCCCTCGCATCCTCTGACCATTTTTTCGTCGAACCTTTTTTCGTCGCCCGCCCTTCTTCTACACCCACCTAACCATCCCCGGTTTCGCTCCCTCCCGTTCCCTTTGCCACCTACTGTCGAACAGAGCGAAATCGAACTGACGTGGACGCGGCAGTTTTCCATCTTTCTATTCCCCCGTGGGGGCGATGACATTTTTTTCGGTCTCTCAACTTTTAGATCTACGCGACCGGCTCCTCTGACGTGAAAATATCGTTGGAGCGATATTGGCGCGGCATTTCTATCGATACAAACCCATTACTAAATACTTATAACGTACGATTTTACCCTCGCCAATTCACCGTCACGAGTTGTTGAGATTGAATGAAATAATTCAGTCGATTAAAAAAATATATAATTATATAGTGATTTCCGATTAACCCTTAATTCACATGATCGGGTCATTCATTTGGTCTCCTCGTTGAAATACTAGTATTTAGCTAAATAATCATGGGTTTTGTCTTTTCTTTTTTTAAATACACAACTTTATAACTACTATCTAAAGATGTTAAAGTGTATGTAAGAATCACTTAATAACTTTCATGTACTTATAGAAGTGCACTCAGAGAAAAGGTTGCTTCGAAAGAAATATTTCTTTATTATACTACGATTCTACGGTTAAAGAAAAAATTTCTTTGATTTGTGAAAAATTTCTTTGATTTAAACATTATTTTTTAAAATCAAATAAAATTTTATTCAATGTTTAAAATAATGTTTAAATTAAAGAAATTTTTTTACAAATCGAAGAAATTTTTTCTTTAAGCAAACGTATAGCAAACATTTCTTTAAATCGAAGCAATCTTTTCTTTGAGTGATGAAAATTGATCCGAGACAAATTAATTCGCAATTCATTGTGTGTAGTAGGACTAACTATAGTAAAGGATCGGAATATATTATCGTGTACTAAGGATTTCAATATACTTTTAGTACGATGGATCATTCATGTCTAGAATATCCCTTATCTTTAAAAAGTATTTATAAAGTTGTATATTTAAAAAAAAATTCTATATAAATTCTATGTAAAATTCTATGTTACAAATACTTAGACAACACAAAGTATCCAAAATCGAGACATAAAATGTTTTTGGCATCTAAAAGACATCTTAAAGATGTCTTATGTCTCAATTTTAGACTTTGTGTTATCTGGGTAATTACTTGGTGCGTCTAGTTTTGCGAAGAAAAGAAATGCACAGGACACGAATGACCCAATCGTGTGTTCTAAGAGTTAAATTAATTATTTAAGAAATTGATTTGCGATTACCATCGTGCAATCAGAGGTGATAAATAGGCGACAAAATACAAATATTTTTTTCATATTGTGGTTATGTGAAAGTCACGTGGCGATCGTGAGCTTAATCGCGATCCGATTCGATCGACGCACATTAATGAGTAGCCACCCTGCTGTACGAGGGTGAACCGAGTTGTGCATGTATATTCGTGAGCACTCATCATGCGACATGTGATTACCGCGATGTAGCCCCGCAATGCCGTGACATGTGTGTCCTGTATGTTATATACACACAATTCGTATCGCACCCCCTATACAACCGGCCTCGATTTCTCAATTAAGTCTTGAATTATTCAAAACATAACTGTGTAACGTTAAACTTATGCATGCGACATTAAATTTCGAGTAAATTTTTGGTGTTGTTACTTGTGCAATTGAGGGATTGAATTCTATAACAGGATAGACGTGGATTTCGCAGAGTAAGTTCTTAAGTCTTATTGTATAAGTTCTTATTGTCCGCCGGGCTAATTTTAGACATCACTCCAATTTCGATTTTAACGATTGATTCTTGAAAATTTTATAGCGTATTTTTCTTGTGCTTAAATCAAATTTATGACTTTTTTATCTTCAAGTTATAAATGGAAAAAGTAAATTGTAAAAGGAAAATTTTCAATGCATTTTTCTGTTTGACTCGTCATATCTTAGCCAAATATGAATATTTCTTTGAAACTGTCACAATAAACAAACAAAATAAACTTCAAGATATTTTTCGAAAAGGTATAAAAAAATTTGTGAAAAATTTCACAGCCGAATGTCGAATTTTTCAAAATGTTTCTCCCAAATTCATAGTTTTATTCATTCGATCACAAAAGTTGTCTTTTTCAAATTGTCGTCTTTTATGCGAAATCCGCACGTATCCTGTTATAGAATTCAGTCCTTCAATTTTACAAATGGATCAGTCATTTTGAAAACGACATGTACTGTTCTTTAATTTTCGGAAATGGAGATATGATGGAATGTTTTATAAAAGCGCGCATTTACGGCGCGTATCAAAAGAAATTATGCATCTGTCATCTAGGAATTATTCTCTTTGGAAGCAACAATCAATAAAATTAAAGTGCATTTTATTTCCTTTTGAAAATCGCGATATTCTTTATTCGTGTTTTATTTCACTTTTGATCGCTAAGATAAATTACCCGAATAGTTAACTGTTATTTGAAAACATTTGATTTGATTATTCGTCGTGTGTTTGCAGACCAGTGTTGGGTAGTTTGCATTTAGGTACATGTATAGAGTACATTTTGTGTATCTAACTTGTGTCTGAAATTAAATTTAAATTTATATTTGTGACTGTAGACAAAAACACAGTCTGAACTGATTTTCAGATATATTTCCTTAACAAAGGCATGATTCTATCATATGTTGTGTGATAACTACTGATTATGACCTGAACAAATATAAGTTTGGTCTGTAATACTAATAAGGAATAAAATGTCTGGAATGTTTGATTGTAAATCATTTTAGGATCTCTTTAAAATCTTTAAAGTGAAATTTAATTCTAAAGAAAAACAATTAAGAGTTGAAAAAGAATGGCTCAATTGTCAATTTTTAAGAATGAGATTTTATTCTTTAGTAGTTAAGTTTCATTCCAAAGATTTTAGAGAGTATAATTGCAAATTTTTGCAATTTCATTTTCGTTTGCCGTATTATGTTAATTACAATGATAAGAATTATTAGTGTCAAAAAAATTTTTGTTTGCAAAAAGACAGTACATGTGATCTTTATACACAAGGATCTTTATTATTACTTTATTATTATTATTATATTATGATTTAATGTCTTTAAAACAACCAAAAGTGATTAATAAATAATTTACTTAATAGTTTACTTAGTTTCTTAAATATTATTATTATAAAATATAGAATGTCCCAAAATAATCTCCAAAATTTCATAGGCAAGTAGAACGGATTAAACTGAGTCGAAACCTTTACATTTGCAATTTTCACAATAATTTACATTTATTAAAAATTGGTTTTCCATAATTCAAATACTATCAGCTTTGCAAAAAACACTGCAAGAGACAAAAATTGTTTATTTTCTTTTTTAAAAATTTTTTCAGAATTTTTTCAAAATTTTTTGATACCGTACTTTCTTGATAAACATAAGAAAATATAGTACTAAAAAAAATTGATAAAAAATACTGAAAAAATTTCTAGAGCTTTATGAGAAGAAAATAAACAATTTTTGTCTCTTGCAATTTTTCTATAAAATTGATAGTATTTGAGTAAAAAATTATTGAAGACCAATTTTCGACAATTTTAGTAATGAATATCTTGTTAACTATTGCGAAAATTGCAAAATGGTAGAGAATTTTTCGATTCAGTTTAGTCTGCCCATGAAATATTTTGCGATTATTATATTCTGTATAATATAAGACATAATTTAAAAGTATCTCATATATGTATCTGAAGATATTTTTAAAGTATCTATGTCTGTATATGAATACATTTTCGCACATGTATTTGTATCTGTATTTAGGTACATTTTTATACTATTTTCTAATATATATTCCGTCATTGTTGCAGACGGAAATCGCAAAGAGGTTGAACGCGATAATCGGGCAAGTGCTTCCGTTCCTGGCGCAAGAGGTGAGTCTTTGACTTTCTGTTTGGCACGCGTGCCGTGCGATCTCACAATCGAGTGTGACGACGACGCGATAATGATAGCATGGCATTGCAGCATCAGCAGCAGGTGGCCAATGCCGTGGAGAGGGCGAAGCAAGTCACCATGTCCGAACTGAACGCTATTATCGGGGTAAGTAGCCGCTCACCATTTACTTAGTCTAAGTCATCGGCTCTAATGAGATAGATCGTAAAAATGTATCCAGAAAAAATTCTTTATAACTAAATAATAGTTCGCGGCCTATATCGGCGAATTTAATCTTATGATCGAATAATTGTTATTTGAGTGCAACTTGACACGGGTTTTTTTTTTCATTCTTGCAGCAGCAACAGCAGCAAGGTCTTCAACAGCTACTGGTGAGTATTTTATATCGCATTTAATGCATAAAACATGGTTTATGTTTATATTTCTGTTATTTATTGGACGATGACTTGGAATCATTTTATAATGAGATTCATCTTAAAGTAACATGTTATGATAACATTTTGCTGATAAAAATGTCATGAAAAATTATTATTAAGGATTTATTTATTAGGAATAAGAAGAACAATTTAATATGTTGATTGCACGGATTACGTGATTAATTTTACGAGAATCTAATTAGAAATTATACACAGCTGTTAGATATTAAAGGAGCAACGCTTAACCCAATATCTCGAGTTAAATAATATTTCATTGTTTTTAGAACTTTCATATATGTCAAAATATAAATCAAATTTCTGTGGTTGAATTGCTTAATTTAAACAATATCTGCGTATTAACATATGGTAAATAATAAATTTAATTAAATTTAATCAAATTTACTGCATTTCTTGACTCTTTTGTTTTAGTTAAATTACGACACAATGAATAGAAGCAATTGGCGATCCAGAAATGATTAAAAATAACTCAAATTGGGTTGATTTAACATAAATTTAAATTTACATTGTGATAGTAAAGAAATGCAAAAATTTTTAATATTCTTTGTTTAATCTATTGATAATGTATACCTTTCTAAATATTGTCCGAAATATTTGGATGGATAGTGTTATAGCGCCGATTACTGATGACTCTCACGGTTAATCGATGAAAAATGAATTAGAAATAAAGTCATATAAAGCGCGATCGATGGAAACGAAGACAAAGGAATCGGGGAAGAAAAGGAGTAAGAGGCATCCCATTACAAATACTTTTTATCTCGTTATCGCAGCAACAGATCCATGCGCAGCAACTGCCTCACGGA